AGTGCATGAAAAAGATTGAGTATGTCATAGTGTGTGGGGCGAGCTGAATTAAAAATAAGGTCGGTTGTGGAGAGGAATTGTTCTAGGGAGTTGGTGACAGAATCACCCTAAAGAGTGTGGCGGCACTTAAAATCACCAACTACAAGGAAAGGTGGCTAGAGTTGGGAAATTAGATGGGAAATTATGCTGCGACATCTTCCATCTTCCTATCTTTCCTATTAACAATTTTCAACCACATATGGATGTCAGGAAATTTCCCTTCTCATTGGCAAAATGCTCTTATCCACCCTTTCCTGAAACCCAGCAAATCGTGTACCCTCCCTCAAGATTATCATTCCATCGCTCTAACTAACTGCTTGTGCAACCTACTAGAGTGAATGGTTAACTTCTGCTTAATGTGGTGTCTTGAATCTCCCAGTCTTCTCAATCCTTCTTAATTTAGTTTCCACCATGCCCAAAGTACAGCTCATTTCGCCATGAATTGGTATTAGCCATATTTTTTGACCTAGATCATATGATACTACATGGTGGTACCATATTCTCTTCTCCTCCCTAGGTATACATAATGGTTAATGGTTAATGGTTAAAAGCAAGATAAATGTGCTAGACATCTAAGGTCATGTAGCACTATAGTTAATGTTAGTGAAGGGTGGTTGAGTTAGTGATTAGTTGTCTAAGCTGGGCAAAGGAATTAGTGAGTGAAAGGGTTAAGGTCGGGTGTTATATTAGATAAAGGGTATGCATAAGAAAGGTTTCTTGAAGGCATACAATAGATGGGTTATAAGAGGAAAGGATATGATGGTTAGGTCTGTGGGAGCGGAAACCGCGAATATTCCAATGAAGGATAGTTATACTTTCGTTGATTTAGTGATATAGATTGTAGTACAGTGTTGGAGAATTTGAAGGGGAAGCAGCTAGAGGGTGGGATAAGGACTGAGAGGTTTGAGATGGGAGAGGTGTGGGAGTTGGTATTCTATCAGGAGGGGTATTAGGAGATGGAGGGTCTGAGGAAGGGGATACTTGTGACATAAGGGATTCACGTGTGTATCCAGGAGGGAGTGGAAGGGATAGAGGGGATGGTGGGAGAGTTAATATGGGCGGGGTTGGGGTCAGGGGGGATGGGCTGTGTTGGGAGGGGGCAGGAGGGTAGGGTGTAGGGGGGATATCGTTAGGAGGAGGATGGATATCAGCAATTACTTGGAGTGTGGAAGGAGCAGGGGTTGTAGGTTGAGTGTCAGTTTTCATTAAGTAATCTTGAATATTTTCAATAGTTTCTTCTGTGGAGTTGGTTGGGGAGTTTTGGGGGATAAAGGATTTCTTGTGAGGGGGGGAAGAGAGGACTGGTGTCTCAAGAGTACGGGCAAAGGATGGTGGGGGTGATTGTGTGGTAGGGGAAGAGGGGGTGGAACGTTTGTTCTGTCTGTTACGGGGAGTGCGAGGAGGGAGAGGGGAAGGTGTTGGGGTTGTAGTGGTGATTGGAGTATCTGTAAGTAGAGATTGGAGTTTCTGGATTTAGGATGGCAAAAGAGTTTGACTGGGGAAGGTAGGTGGGGTTAGTGGGGGGGTTAGATGTAGGAGGGGTGGGTTTAGGAGAAGTGTTAGAATGAGCAGTATTACTGGAGTAAGGAGTAAGAGAGAATCCACGTCGACGTGCTTCCTGTCTGGCTTCACGCAGTGTGAGTCCGAGTTTGAATCTGAGAGTTGCTACCTCAGATTCAAATTTGTAGGTGGGACAGCCCCTATAAAATACATTATGGGGGCCGCCACAGTTGGCACATGTGCGTGATTGTGCAGAGCAGTTAGATCGGGTATGGCCAGGTTGGGCACATAATGGGCATCTGGCTGTGGAACGGCAGTGTTTGGCTGGGTGTCCTAGACGCCAATAATTTTGGCACTGACGTGGAGGAGGTTGGTATGGACGAACAGGGAGGGATTCTCCTCCTATGTAGACGTTAAAGGGAAGGTCATGTCTACGGAAGGTAATTTTGGCTATGTTAGTGGGTTTCTTTCGATGACCTCTGGGGGGGATGGAATAGCATTGTACTGATGTTGCATCGTAGTCTGTGAGACAGGCAAGTAGATCTCTCCACAATCTGACCAATCTTTGTCATAGATTGGGCAATTGCATGGTGAGATTGAGACTGTTCCGGTGCAAGTATTGAGGGTTGGATGGGGTTCTGCTAGGATGGGGTTACCATATAGGTCAGTTAGTTTTGTTAATGCTATGGCTTGGTTTTCGGATGTTACTGTTACAAGACGGGAGCGGTCGGGTCGGCTACGGAAAGAAACTTTACCTACTTGTTTTTGGAGGCATTGTTGGAAGAGAAGGGTGTTGTCAGAGTAGGGAGCTGTGGGAGGGATCACGAAAAATCGGTCCCATTTGGCTGCACTGAAGAGAGTATTCAAGATTGTTTTAGAGATAGGGGTGGTAGAAGGGCGAGGTCGTGACGAAGATGGAGTAGTGTTGATGGAGGTAGTGTTATGGAGAGGTGGGCTATAAGGCTGTAAGGTATTAATAAGGGAGGATGGGGTGGTTGATGTTGGAGGTTGTGGGGGTAGAGGTGTTGAAGTTGGGCATGCTGGGAGAGTGGAAATGTTCCTTGAGGGTTGATTGTTGGCTACTGTACTAGTAGGCATTGGTGAAGGGGTAGTTATTGCAGTGTTCGGAGCCGTGGTCAAAGGAGAGCCTGGGGTCGGGGAATCGGGTGGGTTTACTTCTTTGGGGCTATTTGATAAAGGGGCAAGCCTCATTGCCCCTAACAGTGGGGATATATTTTCATTACTGGCCATGGTAAGCCTGGTTATGTTGGGGATAAAAACAGTCCACCCCTCAGGGTCCCCTTGAGGGGTAAGGGCTAGATACTAAATCAGGGGAATACCGTGCCCATGGCTCCCTCAGGCCGTTCAGGACTGGCACAAAGTCAGCCTTTCATCCTTTCAGCACGGCTCTCACACCTTAGGAGGTGGATAGCAGAAGGGTTTGGTGAAGGGACAGAAACAAAAGTGGGAAGGGAAAAAAAGACCATGCATAATTAGTTGAGTCGAGGGCTGAGTCCCAAGGTTGGGGAGTTCCCCATCATTGGGTCCCAGTCTCCGCCTCCTAAGCCCCCCCACGACAACAATGGGCAAGGGATTGGGGGGGTAGGTATACATAGAAACATGGGTGTCTTTATAATTTCCTCTCCAAACACACTTTCTAGGTCAAAATTGCCTCTTCCACATCATCCTTCTTTCCTCAGTTTGAAGGCATCCCACAAGGCAGTGTGCTTCGCACCACTTTATTCCTTCTTTCCGTTAATGACATTGTCTTATTTCTTCCACCAGGAGCCCGATTATCACTATATGTTGATGATTTAACCATCTTCTCCTGCATATCCATACCAAATCTCTGCCAATTCCTTCAGTCTGCAATATCATCAGTATCTTCCTGGCCACAAACCATGGCTTCCACTTTTCTACCTCCAAATCTTCCTCCATCCTTTTCTCTCATGCATGTGTAGGCCCCAACCTCCACTCTTCTTATATGGCACTCCATTCCATTACAGTTCCTCTGGCTAAATCCTTGGCATTATTTTTGACTCCAAATTGTCCTGGCGAGACCATATCTTTTACATTAAAGAAAAAGCTTGTTGCTGTCTCCAAATCTTACAAACTCTGTCCCATATATCTTGAGGCTCAGGTCACAAAACTCTTCTCCATTTTCATGTTACCTTCATCCTCTGCACTCTTGATTATGGATGCCATATCTACTCTGCCTTAACCCCCCTCCTTACCCATTTTGATACAATCCACCACTGTGGACTTCGCTTAGCCCTGGGTGCCTTCCACTCCTCTCCAGTTGAGGGCCTGTACACTGAATCTCTGTCTCGACACCATACCCTTCTCTCTCTCTGGTGTTATGCTCGATTCCACCAATTTTCCATCACCAAACTATCCCACAATCCCTACTTCCTACTTTTGCTTCTTCTCCATGTTTACCTACTCCTTTCTCCTTTTGCATGGATACCCTCCTCTCCCTCTGTGTGTGTGTGCATGTGTGTGTGTGTGTGCATACTTGTGCACTTGTGTGTGGGCACATGTGCTTGTGCACATACGTGCATATGTGTGTGTGTGAATTTGTGCATGTATGTGTGAATTTGTGCATGTATGTGTGTATTTGTGCATGTATGTGTGTATTTGTGCATGTATGTGTGTATTTGTGCATGTATGTGTGTATTTGTGCATGTATGTGTGTATTTGTGCATGTATGTGTGTATTTGTGCATGTATGTGTGTATTTGTGCATGTATGTGTATATTTGTGCATGTATGTGTGTATTTGTGCATGTATGTGTGTATTTGTGCATGTATGTGTGTATTTGTGCATGTATGTGTGTATTTGTGCATGTATGTGTGTATTTGTGCATGTATGTATGTGTGTATTTGTGCATGTATGTATGTGTGTATTTGTGCATGTATGTGTGTATTTGTGCATGTATGTGTGTATTTGTGCATGTATGTATGTGTGTATTTGTGCATGTATGTATGTGTGTATTTGTGCATGTATGTATGTGTGTATTTGTGCATGTATGTATGTGTGTGTGTGTGTGTGTGTGTGTGTGTGTGTGTGTGTGTGTGTGTGTGTGTGTGTGTGTGTGTGTGTGTGTGTGAGAGAGAGAGAGAGAGAGAGAGAGAGAGAGAGAGAGAGAGAGAGAGAGAGAGAGAGAGAGAGAGAGAGAGAGAGAGAGTGAGTGAGTGAGTGTGTGTGTGTGTGTGTGAGAGTGTATTTGTGCGTGTGTGTGTGAGTGTATTTGTGCATGTGTGTGTGAGTGTATTTGTGCATGTGTGTGTGAGTGTATTTGTGCATGTGTGTGTGTGTATTTGTGCATGTGTGTGTGTGTATTTGTGAATGTGTCTGTATTTGTGTGTGTGTATTTGTGCATGTGTGTGTGTATTTGTGCATGTGCACTCATGAATATATAAAATCTTTTTTTTCTTTGGAAAGGTTTGAATAATATACTGC